CCCCTGCATGTGTCCAATTTATACCTAACTCCCCCCTCCCCTCCATGTGTCCCTCCTCCCCTCTCTCCCCCAGTGCCCCATTCCTCTATCTCTCCCTCTCCCATCCAAATTATTGTCCCAATCCTCTCTCCCTCCCCCCTCCCCTTCATGTGTCCCTTTCTCTCTCTCTGCCCTCTCCCTCCATGTGTCCCTTTCCTCCCTCTCTCCCCAGTGCCCCATTCCTCCCTCTCTCTCCCCCAGGTGCCCCATTCCTCCTATCTCTCCTCTCCCATCCGTGTGTCCCAATCTCTCTCCCTCCCCCCTCCCCTTCATGTGTCCCTTTTCTCTCTCTGCCCTCTCCCCTCCATGTGTCCCTTTACTCCCTCACTCCCCCCTCCCCTCCATGTGTCCCTTTCCTCCCTCTCTTTCCCTTCCCCTCTAATTCCTTGCTTGCCATGGTTCCTGGTGTGACAGGAAGTGCTCTCTCAGTGAGTACTTCCTGTCAGACCATTCGATCACGCTACACACAGAACAAGTACAGCTCACCCCTTCTGCCAGACATCTGGGAACCGCCATCCCTGGGCTGGTGAGGCTGGGCACGGGCCCAAAAAGTATGCCTGTGGCCCATGGTCGCAGTGGTCACCGCTGTGGTTGGGCCCCATATAGTGACGGTGACCCCTGCGACCATGGTAGTTACACCACAGGTTCCTATAATTAAATCTTTAATTTGGGAAAAGACTGTTTTCCCTAGTCTCTTCTGTTGAAATCACATCTATTGTGGCCTATTATGTGGTTAATAAGAATCTGCCTTGGAAGTAACCCCGTGTGCCCGGATTACTGTTTTCGCTGTACTACTGTTTGGAGGTTGTGCCAACCTCTTGTTGGCTAAACACCTTGTGGTTAAATGTTTGGAGGAGTGTTATTCCATTGTTCTTTTTGATTCACTAAAAAATTGCTTATATCATAAATATTCAGCTAGAAAACCTTGTTTCATCAAGATCGGTTATTTGATATACCATAAAAATATAATTGCTTATAACTGTCACTAATACCAATACGAAATAAATAAATAAATACTAGTTAAACAAACAAAGCAATAAAGGCAGATGATCAGGATTGCTAAAACAACAACAGACCTTACCTGAAAGTAAAAAGTTGATGTCAAAGATCAAGAACACAGACAAAGTAATTCAACAATGTGCGCATCGTCAGAGATTCATGGGGAAAAAAAGCAGAAAAAAAGAAATATATTAATTTTTAGCACTAGACAAACTTTTTTAGAAATACACAAATTAATACAATTCTTAGAATGATTGTTAATTGTCCAAACCAGTCTGCCTTTATCTTTACCTTATCTTTCCTACATTCTGAACTAACTCTAAACCTTTCTAATGGCAAACTCTGGACAGTATGTATAATTTATTGCCTAGATTTTTATCATCTATTCTTTGCTGGTGTTAAGAGCAGATACAGCTGATGAGAATTCGGTCAGCGTTTGAAAACGTTCACTATAAGTTGCCACATCTAAAGTCTTGATACAAATATTTATAATGTTTTTATTCATTGCATATATGTCTGAATAAACGTACACAGAAATGGAAACAAACACTGCTGTTTTAATGTGACTGCATATGTAAGTCAATTTCATCATTCTGTCTTGTGGATTGACATAGATAAAATAAATAATGATGTCATAATGTGAAGCTCTGTATTGTGCTCTGTATTAAGGGTGCCATGGAGTCAGAGCGCCACACACCACTAGCCTTTGGCAAATGGACATTTAGCCTAGTGAGTAGAAATTCTTCCCTGTGAGTGAGTTATGGCTTGCAGTGGCAAGTAACTTTTAAGGCCTGGCTAGTTGCACACAACTTCCCATTTTAAAGTCTGATGCAGCATTAATATTTGGGTTTGTATTGGCAGAGGGACACAAGTCTAACACAGTTGTGTCATCAGATTTAGTCAGTGGAAATGTTCTGTTATATATTAGACTTGTGGATTCTGTTTTGAACAAATTGCAGTTTTTCTAAATTTTGTCCAATTGGAAATTTGAGAATAATTTTGGCACTAAATAAGTCATTATAAGTTGCATTTTCATTTAATATTTGGGGAAACCACTTGAAACATTCTTTGTGTTGAGCTATTTCAATTGTTTTTGTTTGATTTATTTAATGCAAACTGCTGAAAGTCTGTACATTTTGACAATAACCCTGACTTTCAACGGGGGTTGAATAATTCTGATTACAACTGTAAATATAGATTTTTATTTTAATTAACTGCTCCTCCTCTACTTTACCCCTCTATTGGTTATTTATTAATTTGTGGCCTAAATGGTGGGAAAACGCACATATCAGTGTAGTACAAAACACATACATAATATTATATACATATATATCTTATTAGCACTCTATATTTTACTCTAGAAAAAGAAAAAAACAACAAAATGTAGTTTGACAGATACCTTCGTTATAAAATCCATAGCTTCTCTATTTAATGTTCTGGCATTGATCAAAATGAAGGATACATCTGAGGCAATGATGGAGAAAACTAATTTCATGCTGAGATAATTCTAAAATGTACTGGGTACTGGGTACGCTGTCCTAGCTATTTTTAAAGTAAATAGGAATAATATTACATTTATGTGAATTGAAGACTATATTCTGAAAATCTATGACTGGCAATAAGACACTTTGATAATTTTTTAATCGTTATAAACAATTACTACATAAGTAAGTAAATAAATAAATAATGTGTGCACAGTTTCTCACAAAATTTAAACATTGATATGACTTAAAGAAACAGTGACAATCTAACTAATATTTTATGCGATTTGGATTGCCTTGACATTGGGCATATATACAAATCCACCCATTTAAGAGGAGGGCATCACATCATACAGTGTACAGAGATCATGTTTTGTCCAACTCTATAGGAAATAACCAGCAGGAAAATATGATGTAGAAAGACAAGTACAGGAAGTAGCATAATCAATATCATTATATTTTATAACTTTTATTAAGTAAACAACATTGCACTGTGTCCGGTGGCTAGACCTACAATTCAATAACATGCATCTTCTATCTCGATGAACAAACGGAAGGTGCATTCAAATGGCTTTATTGGTCAAAGCATGGTCAGATCATTGTTTTGAACTGTCCATTTTATGCCGATTTCTTTATCACTATAAAATATTGGAGGATTTGCACTTGATGAATTTAAGTACAGGGAAACTTGATTCTGCATTATTGACTTTAAACCCCTTAGTGACCAGACCTCTTTTTATATTTCTGCGGTGTTTGTGTTTAACTGTAATTTTATTTTTACTTATTTACTGTACCCACACATAGTATATACAGTTGTTCTCACCATTAAATGGTATTTCTAAAGATACCATTATTTTCATCATATCATATAATTTACTATAAAAAAAGATGAAAAAATTAAAACCTTTTCTAACTTTGACCCGCAAAATCTGTTACGCATCTACAACTGCCAAAAAACTCCCATGCTAAATAGTTTATACATTTTGTCCTGAGTTTAGAAATGCCCAATGTTAACGTGTTTTTAGCTTTTTTGGAAAAGTTATAGGGCTATAAGTACAAGTAGCACTTTGCTATTTCCAAACCATTTTGTTTTAAAAATTAACGCAAGTTACATTGTAACACTGATATCTGTCAGGAATCCCTGAATAACCCTTCACATGTATATATTTTTTTAAATAAGACAGCCTAAGGTATTAAACTTGGGGTATTTTGACTCTTTTCATGCAACCATTTTACCACCAATCTATGCCAAATTTGAAAAAAAAATTATTGATGATTTTCTTGACACACAAATCAATTTAGGAATACATGTACGGAGAACTTTAAGGGTTACTGCCAAAGAACACCTTAATATGTGTTCAGCAACATCTCATGAGTACAGTGATACCACCCATGTATAGGTGTATCAGGTTTTCGGGGGGCTAAAAGACCTTATTTGGAGAGTGCGCATTTCAGTTTTCCAACTTGATATTTTCTCAGCTGGTCATCATGCACCCATGTCCTATTTTGGACATTTTTGAAGCCGGCCAATGTAATTTACCCCCATCAAACCATATCTTTTTGAAACATAGACACCCTAGAGTATTTCAGATGGTGGTATGTTAAAACTTTCCATGCACTAATTCTACCACCAGTCTTTTTCAAACTTTTGGGTAGTCATTTTTTGTGTTATTTTTCTCTCACATTGTACTTTAGGCATAGATTCTCGGTTCCTGTTATGTGTTACTGACAAAGAACATCCCAATATGTGTTCACTAACAACTCCCGAGTACAACAATGCCCCCAATGTACAGGTGTTATGGGTTTTTGCTAACTTACAGGGGTCAAATGTAGGGCTTTCCCCTTTTCCATGTTAGCACATTGGAATTTGCCAGATTGGTTTGATGGGCCTATATTGCCTTTGAGACCGTATAGCAGCCCAGGAATGAAAATTAACCCCATCAAGGCATACCATTTGCAAAAGTAGACAATCCACAGTATTCCAACTTGGGTATGTCCAGTCTTTTGTAATAGCCATTTAGCCACAAACGCTGGCCAAAGTTAGCATTCATATTTGTTTTTTGCATTTTCTTGCACAAAAAACTGCACTTTTACTGGTGGTTTCATCGTCTTGATAGGTTTTACTGTTTTAAACACTCATATTTGTGTTCAGCGAAGTCTCCTGAGTATTACAATTCCCCGCACATACAGGTTTTATGGTGATTTGGAAAGTTAAAGGAACAATATAGGGCTTACCCGATTCAGTTTGCCAGAATGGTTTGCTGGGTCTGTCTTGCCATTTGAGACTATATGGTAGCCCAGGAATGTAAAATAACCCGATCACAGCATACCATTTTCAAATGTAGACAACCCAGGGTATTCAAAATGGGGTATATCCAGTCTTTTGTAGTAGTTAGCGTATTTATTTGTTTTTTTTATAAAAAATTTTTTTAGTTTTATATAGTTTGTATATATATATATATATATATATGCACACACACACATATAATATGTGTGTATGTATGTGTGTGTATATATATATATATATATGTATATATATATATATGTATATATATATATATATATATATACATATATATATATATATACACACACATACATACACACATATTATATGTGTGTGTGTGCATATATATATATATATATATACATATATATACACACACGTAATATATGCACACACACACAAATAATATGTGTGTATGTATGTGTGTGTATATATATATATATATATATATATATATATACACACACACATACATGCACACATATTATATGTGTGTGTGTGCATATATATATATATACATATATATACACGCACACGTAATATATGCACACACACACAAATAATATGTGTGTATGTATGTGTGTGTATATATATATATATATGTATATATATATATATATACACACACATACATACACACATATTATATGTGTGTGTGTGCATATAGTGGAAAATTTATTCATACTTACCGTAATTTTCTTTTCCTGGCTATTATTCATGGCAGCATATACACATGGGTTAGCTCCTCCCCTACAGCCGATAGGACAGGAAAACCACCAAGGTTTTAAAAGGAGGCTCCATCCCTAAGGTCCTCAGTCAGTTTACAAGCTCTACAGTACATAAATAGAGACATTAATGGGATGGGAAGTATATGCTGCCATGAATAATAGCCAGGAAAAGAAAATTACGGTAAGTATGAATAAATTTTCCACTTTCCTGGCTAATCATGGCAGCATATACACATGGGGAATACCCAAGCTTACAAAGGGAGGGACAGAATAGCCAATCAAATTATCAGAATAATTCAACATAGATAGAAGAATGAACTGAGTTAAGTACTTGAGTACCAAATTGTGCATCATAGACTGTTTTAACGAACAGTATGAAATGCCAGACAAACGTGTCTAAAGGAGGTTCAAATGCTAGCTTACAAAAAGTGTCAGCAGAAACCATTGCCATGGCAACCCATGATGCTGCAACAGCATGAGAGGAGAGTGCCCTGATACCCTCCAGCACAGGTAGAGAACGGACGTGACGTCCAAATTGTGCCTCGTTAATTGCTTCAATGTCCAATATGTAATGCAGGACAAACTAGTTCAAAGAGGTCAAAATGCCAACTTTACAAAGTTTCAGCAGAGACCATTGCCATGGAAGCCCACGAGATGCTGTAACAGCACTAGTGGAGAATGCCCCAAATCCTTCGCTACAGGTAGAGAACGGCATTGAAAAGCTCTCACTTTGGGCACGATCACTGGTGCTACGTGCATGACAACCATCTCCTGTTGAAATTCAGTGAATGGGGGTACACAGGATCAAGCCTGGAGTTCACCCATTTCCCTTGCTGGGGTGCCAGCCACCAGCACTGTCTGTGCTACCACCATGGAAGCTCCTTCTAGAGGTTCGAATAATGGTTCAGTCAGGGCCCGTGAGACCAGTGGTACATCATATATTGGCTTCACCACACTCAGTGGAGGCATGATTTCAATCAATGCCTATATGAAGCAAAGTGCAGCAAGTGCACACATTCACCCTGCTGAGGTACCAGTCACTAGCAACAGCAACAGCAACGTCTGGGCTAACATCATGGAAGCTCTTGCTAGAAGTACAGTCAGAGTCTGTGAGACCAGTGGTACATCACATATTGGTTTCAACACCCTCAGCGGAGGCTTGAGTTCAATTGTTGCTTACATGAAGCAAAACACCAGGGGCATCAACGCTCAATCGGTACCCTTCAGTACAGGTAGAGAATGACATAGATAAGCATTCACCAAAGGCAGGATCTTCAGGTGCCAAATGCAAGACGACCATATCTGTTGAAAAGTAGTGAAAGGGGGTTCACAGGACCAAGCCTGGAGTTCACCCATTATTCTTGCTGGGGTACCAGCCACCAGCACTTTCTGTGCTACCACCATGGAAGCTCCTTCTAGAGGTTCGAATAATGGTTCAGTCAGGGCTCGTGTGACCATTGGTATGTCACATATTGGCTTCACCACACTCAGTGGAGGCATGATTTCAATCAATGCCTATATGAAGCAAAGTGCAGCTAAGTGTTCCTCTAGAGTGTTATAACACAGAACCTTTCAAGGCCTGAACGAGGAGTAATTCCAACAGACAAAAGCATGTCAAGCTTAGTAAAGCCTGTATAGGATTGTAAGAGGATCTCAATGACCGTCTCAGGGATGCCTATACTAATATGGACTCCCGCATCAACACCAGAACTTGAGGATCCTGGTGTGTCATGGGGCCTTGTAATAGGTCTGGACGTACAGGAATTTCCCTTGGAGGTTCCAGAATCATCTTATTCATCATAGGAATTAGAGTCGACACGGTCTTCCACTGTCACCTCTTGCATTGCCTTTTTAAGAAAGTTGAAAACAGGAAAATATGTACATCATACTAAAATTCTAAATTTGAGCCAGTGTATCCTGAACCTGAGCATTCTGGTCCTAGCATGTAAAAAATACTTCTGGACCTGGTAGTTTCAAGAAATGGCCATCAAACAATCTGCGTCAACCACGAGGATCCGTCAGGACATGGTTGCCAATCCACCTTGGCACAGTTATTCGGCTCCAGCAAACAGCCATGGTATTCTGAGCCACTGGTTGTTCTTCTGTGCCCTGATCATTATGGGCTGGAATTCCATCAATACGTATCTGTGATACCCATCTTGGTAGATATAGGATACAGTTGCATTGAAATTTGAGCAAATTTGGACCCACTCGTTCTTCAGCAAGCCTCTGAAGTGAAGAAGAGCCTAGAAAATGACTCTTAATTCCATACAAATGAATGGAAATATTGTGCAACATGGTCCAAACACTGTGCAACCAATCTTATAAAAACTGGAATTCGAGCTAATAATTGACCAATGAGGTTCTGTTCACTGGAAACTCAGAGATCCAATCCCTCTTTCAGCAGCCAGGGTAAGGTGCAACTCCACTGATGAGGACATAGTAAGTGGCTGGCTCCAATAATCTCTCTCTTGTTAGACCAAGATAGGAAGGATCTGTAAGGAATCCAGAGATGCCATTGGGCCCCTCTGACAAGTCTGCTGGTGGAAGCCCGGATTCCTAGTAGTTGCATCTATTTTCTTGCTGTTACCAAGCAGAAATGAAGAAACTGTGAGAGAAAACCTTTAAAATCTGTGGAACTGTTCCCGAGATAGGGAAAAGCAGAGCCTAGAATTTTCAACTCAGGAATGTCAATCACTGAGCTGGTCTGAAACTGCTTTTCTTGATATTCATCAAGCAGCCAAACTTTAGGAGTTATGAAAGAACTATATACCTATATGTGCCTGCCTTCTGAGGGTCTAAGGCTATCACAAGTAGATCCTCCAGATAATGGAACCAGGTGGAGTTCTGGACTCTCAATAACACTATAAGCACATAGAAAGATTCTTGGGGCCGCATTGAGGCCAAATGGTAGGGCACTAACATGGAAGTTCTCTTCTGAGCTAATGCCGAAGATCTCTGCAGATTGGACTGAAAGTAAGCATCCTTGAGATATATAGAGGTAAGGCAATTATCCTTCCAGATTGCTTGAGATATGGATCTGATTGACTCCATCCTGAAGACTAACATTCAGCCTCTTGTTGGCCCCTCTTAGATCCAGTGTAGGCTTTCATGTGCTTTTCCTCTTGGCACCAAAAGAGAGGTTGAAACTTGTCCCTGGAACTGCTCTTGTTCTGGGACCTAAAAAAAAATCACCTCTTTGTCAAGAAGGCTTCTTCCTTCAGTGCTTTACCTTTTGATTCATTGGTCTTAATGCTCCTGTTGGTATGGAGGCCCGTGCCCGTTAAGAAAAAACTCCAGTCTATATCAATCTGGGCCATGGATAACACTCAAGCCTCCAGAGTATGACAAGCCCAGGTATGTGTAATCAGAAAAATGAGGCTCCTAGTAATGGAAGAGATATGTTCATTGCTGAAGAGCAAAACAACTGCGTTATAGCTACATTAGAACCTTGAAAGGCAGGTTTACCAACTGCCATGAGTTACCTCTGGAGTATTCCCCGCAGGGCCAGTAGCTTCATGTATCTCAGAAATACTGGTCACTGGAGGTTCTCCGGTCAGACTATGAGGAGCTGGGATCCTTGGAACTTCCATCCTAAGGTACCAATATTTTGCAGCCCTCATTCGCCTTTTCAATGGAATTATCCAAAGTTTTCCCCAAACAGCACCACCCCTTCAAATAGAATGGTGTAGAGGGCAGACTTTGAGGATGAGTCATCATCCCAGAAACAGAACCATAATGCTTTCTTAGCTGCTATAGATAAAGCCATTTGATCCACAGACTATCCTAGTTACATCTAGGGAAGTTTCTGTGAAGAAGTCAGTTGTAACCAGAAGACTTCAGACTGCCTCTTCAATCTTGGCCTTTAATATCTCTCTTCATAGTAGCCTTTAGATCTTTAATCACATAACTCATGTTTGTAGAAACAGCAGCAGAAATCACAGCTGGCTGGCCTCCTGCAATGGTAGGCGTAAAATTTTGGACAGGTCTGCGTCCACCTATGATCCATAAGTGTGCAACTTAGGTGGTGTAGTTCTGGGGTTGGAAATAACTTCCTCCACAGGGTAAAGCCTGGCCTCCTTTCTTACCCCTAAGGCCTCTGGAACTTACTTTGTAAGCCCTGCCCGCATGTCATGTGGCTGCACAGTGATAGGTCATGCTGAAGCGACAACCTTCTGGAGGCAGTCAGTGCATAACCGATTCCTTCCACTGTATTCTCCTCATATCCAGATCCTGGTGAAGAATCAGACACCTGACAAATAATAACAACTAAATATTACCTGTGGTAAAGTATTAAGAAAAAATGTGCACTGTTAAATTCTATAAGAAACCAGCGAAACAGCTTTAAAACAGGCTGAAGACAGCACTTATCCATGTCTGGAGACCCTGCAAATACTTACCCAATAAGTGTGGTATGTTTACTGTAATTTTCCCTTTATTTTAGGCACTTTCTGGCAATTGCCCTTATCCAAGATGGCTGCCACAACTTGTATTCCCACAATGCAAGTCCTCTGTATTAGGCCCAATAAGGCACAAACTGCACACATGTGGGCCTATTCCGAGTGTGTTTGCTGTTAGAGACCAGGAGAGGACTCTGTCTGAAGCCTACATGGCCCCTAAACACCCAGGGAACCAGGAATAAATCACTGGGACCGAGGGGAAGCAAAATAGATAACAAAAGTGCCTGCAAGGAAGTTTAAAAGGAAACCAGGAGCAAAAAATCAATTTTAAAGGCACCACAGTCTAAAGGCCGCAAGGTATAAAAGGTAACACAGTTTCCAAAATGTATCACAGTTTCCAAAATGTATCACAGTTTCCAAAATGTATCACAGTTTCCAAAATGTATCACAGTTTCCAAAATGTATCACAGTTTTCAAACAAACTGCAGTCTTCAAAAGCACTGCAGTCGTCAATGACTTGCGGTATTACATGCAACTT